CCGGGGGGCGCCCGCCCAGCTAACAGCCCAGACGCATCAGCTGGCCGCGTCCTCCGCGGCTTGGCTCTGCTTTGCCCCCCTCCCCATCCCTCTGGTCTGCACACCAGGGGGACGGGGGGGCAAAGCAGAGCCAAGCCGCGGAGCGCGTGGGCAGCGGACAGCCCTGTCCGCTGCCCACGTGTTCCACCGCTTTGCTTCCTCTCCCTGGTCTGCTGGAGACCAGGGAGAGGAACGGCCCCGTTCGTAACTGCGGATCCGACATAAGTCGGATCCGTGTAACTCGGGGACTGCCTGTAGATCATCACAAAATAGGAGTCTGGATCATGTAAAATTATCATGAAAGCCCAGGTGATCATTTTACATCCTGTAGAAATTGTCATCTTCACCAGCATGTGCAATCCCAGTAGAAAGCTTTTAGAAACACATGTGCAGTTAGACATTTGAGCATTTTATGCAAGACACTCTTTGCCCCAATGCTCTAGCATGTTTTCTGTGACATTCTTCTGGTACGAAGTGGATTTTGACCCAGTAAGTATAGGGACTAGAGGATTTCCCTGTGTTCGAGCAATTGAAAGGTGGCCTAGGAGCACACCTGCGTACCCTAGTACGTACCCTAGTAGTTCATGGTTGCGTGAATGGTCCCTATGGAACGTTGGAGTCATCTGCTCTGAATTGCACCTTGGATCTGGGTGGGTGTTGCTATACCTAAGAACTTAATACGGACCAAAGATCTGCTGGAAGGGAGAAGACACTAAATAGTGTAACATTTGAATTGGTAGATGGGATGAAAAGATCATAGAATACTAGGGCTGGAAGGGACCTTGAGAGGTCATCAAGTCCAGTCTCCTGCCCTCATGGCAGGACCAAATCATAGAAATCTATGACTGGAAGGGACCCCGAGAGGTCAAGGAGCCCAGTGCCCTGCCCTCATGGCAGATGGACAGCTGTCTCTCCAGAGGTGAGGTGGTGAGCTCGTCATTAGCTCTGTGTAGCTGAAAAGCTCTTCGGGAACAGAAATTAGCTCAATAAAAGATATTACCTCAGTCACCTTGCCTCTCCACTGTCCTGGCACCAGCATGGCTGCAATAGTGCAAACAGTTACACATGCACATAGATAAGGATTTGTCTTTGAGAAGTGCCACAGCATATCCTCACTGACAGGGTGTTCACATGCTGCTGCCTGGCTTAGGCCCATCTTCTGGATTGTGAGAGCACCCCTCATGGATTGGACTCTTTAGCAGGGAAACTATGAAGAGATGTACAGTTCCACCTGCCCACCTGTCTTGGTTAGCAGCAGGACTCCACGTGGCGTGCCCTTTGCCTTTAGCAGGCATGTGCTTGGTTCAAAGTTGTTTTTGTCATTTTTTGTAGATTTGCTGTATGCTTGCCTACCTTCAGTGCCCCATCCACTCCACTTCTTCAGTATTGTACAGGCAGGTTGTTTAGTTGCTGCTTGGTGCTGATTTTGTGCTCTGGCTGACTCTGACAACTAGGCAGGATTCAAACAGTGCATGCTATATGCCAATAAAATGTACTTCATGTCTGGAGCCAGGAAATGGGGTGATGTTTTCTAAAACCTTTGGAATGGAGACTCCAGCTGAACAGAACTCTGAGGGAAAGGAAAATTGTAACACCCATTTCAGTCACCTCTTTAACAAATGTCCTGTGTATAGTATGGTCTGATAACTTGAGTCCTTGTCAGCAAGGAACAAGGGTTGTGTATCCTTTGGAAAGATGATTCTCCTCATTGCAGTAGTGCAAGTCTCCCACTTCTAGGGTTCATACTGTACCAGTGGACTTTAAATCTGACATGATCAGAGTCTGAAGATCAGTTACTCCACATTTATATGACCCCATCAAGTGTTCCGTGCGTGTGAAAGAGAGGGAGAGACTTAGGCTTTTAATCCAAAATTGTCATGAAAATGTGCCTGTCCAGGCCCCAAGTTGCTCTTTTATATGATGAAGCTGATGGGGGGGGGGAGGGGAATGTGCTTGCTCACCTGGATTAAGTAGAATTTTACAAGACTAAGCTTTATTTACCATTGACTGAAAGTGCAGCTATCACAGCTGAATGTTTTTAAAATGTTTTGTCATCACGTTTGCAATCATGCTGTAAAAGAGAATCTGATAAAATTATTGCATTCTGTGAAGCATTAGAATTCCCTTTGTGTCAGTTGTGTGCCAATTCCACAGATTTTATAGGTTTATGGGATCAGACTGCCCTCTGGTGGACTGAGTAGGAAACAAGCTCCTAAAAAGCTTGCTGAGGCCTGGTCTACATTATCAGATTAGGTCAAAGTTAGCCCCGTTATGATGATTTTAAGAATGAGTCTACACCGCCACGTACCTTCCACCAACTTTAATGTGCATGTATAGTCTCTATCTGTACTTCACCTTGATGAGAGGAGCAGCACTAAATTTGACATTCTGGGTCAAATTCAGGGTAGTGCAGGGACAGCTGTTCAGGTCGATGATCTTGTACTCCGCGAGGTGTTCCATAATGTCCCAGTGTGACCAATCCAGCCAGCATTCAACTTTGCTGCTCTCCCAGGTGCACAGGGAAAATTCTGGGGCCTTTTCGATTTCATTTTCTGTTTGGTTAGCATGGGAAGCAAAGCAGCGCATCTGACCATGAATGCCCAGGGTCACAAACAAGCTCCATCATGGAGCATACAGACGACCTGAATCTGATTGCTGTGGGCAGAAGAATCTGTGCAGGCAGAACTCTGAAGCAGCAGAAGAAATGCTGACATCTGTGCCAGAGTTGGACAGGGCATAGTGGAGAAAGGATACAACAACGGCACCTAGCAGTGAGAGAAAGCAAAGTTTTAACTACTTGGATTTTTTTAATTTCAAAGCTATCCTTTTTCTATAAACTGTCTGAAAAGGGAACATTCTAATAATAGTCTTCACATTATTATTTTACATGGTTTGCATGACATTTGAAATGAAGCTGGAAATAGTGGAATTTTCCATAATGGAATGGAGGATAATTTTGGTATTTTAAATGACATGCTTTACTTTGATATAATACAACGATTTAAAATTTCCCATGTTTATCTAATATGTAAATGAATGCTTATGTACTGAAACAAAGGGGGTTGTGGTTCTGAAAGGCTGTTCAGTGGTTTGAGCACCAGTTCTACCAAAAGTCAGTAAGATCTGTGCTTGAGTCATTTAAGTAGCAACAAAAATCACACTCTTTAATATCTCGATTTTATTGGTACCTTTGAACAGGATACATCATTTACTACAGCACAGATGTGAATGCGGAGATACATGACTGGGTCATCGAGCCTGTGGTGGGAAACAGATTGACCCACCAGATCCAAGAGTTAACCCTCGATACACCATATTATTTCAAAATCCAGGCACGGAACTCCAAGGGCATGGGGCCTATGTCGGAGGCAGTACAGTTCAGAACACCCAAAGGTAAAGTCTCGTGTATGTTCTTTAGCATTTCCTAAAGTACCTGTAGGAAATGCAACGTAGTGGTATTAATTGGGTATTGGATATGGGGTGGGGAGAAGAAGATGGAGTTGAATTTGGGAAGATGTTTTCTCCTCACCCTTCCAACAGCCCTTGGCTGGAACAAGCACATAAACCAGTTCAAGCCCATGGTTGTGGAGATTTGTTTTTAAATAAATGGTTAGCCCATGTGCCATCAGGCTGTAATGACAGTGCTGTAAATGCCACAGAAAGCCTGACTTGTAGTTACCTCACAACTTGAGATGCAGTGTGTGGTGACTGCCCAATGGTTCGGGTTGCCAAGTCTCCAGTTGAGAGAGGCCCTGGCTGCTTCAGTTAGCAGTGCCAAGTGGTCCGTTAAAAGTCCGGTTGGCGGCACAAGCAGGGGCCCAGAATTAAGGCAGGCTCCTTGCCTACCCTGGTGCTGCACAGCTCCTGGAAGCATCCACCAGATTTCTGCAGCCCCTGGCTGGAGGAGTAGCTAGGGAAGGCTCCAGGTGCTGCCTTCCCCCTCCCCCTGAAGTGCTGGCTCCGCAGTTGCCATTAGCTGGGAACTGTGACCAATGGAAGCTGTCGGGTTGGTGCCTGCAGGCACAAGGACAGTATGTGGCGCTTCCCTGGCCACTGGTGCTCCATGTGGCCACTTCTGGGATCTGCAGTGCCACTGGGACCCCCCTCCCCCCCGAACCTCCTCCCACACTTCTGTCCCAGTGCAGAGTCCCCATCCACACCCCCACACTCTGCTCCAGCCCAGCCTGGAGTTCTCTCCTGCACTCCAAGCCCCTCATCCCCAGATTCCTCACCCTCCTTGCACTCCAGCCCTAGTCCCCTCCTGTGCCCCAATCTCTTGTTCCTGGCACCATGACAGAGCCCAGCCCCCTTTCGCACACCAGACCTTTTGGCTGCAGACCAGAGCCCTTCCCTGCACCCCACACCTCTCGTTTTTGGACCCACCCCAGAGCCTGTACCTACAACTGGAGCCTTCATCTCCCCCCTGCATCCCAACCTCCTGTCCCAGTCTGGTGAAAGTGAGTGAGGGAGAGGGACAGTATGTGATGGAGAGAGGGGCATGGAA